TGTTTTGGTCTGTTTTCTTAAACTTTAAGCAATAGGTCAACTATATTTGTTGTATGGAAGAATTGTTAGCTGTACATGCCTGTCTGGCATGGTTCTTCTGACCTTGACCTCATTTTCATGGTTCATTGGTCAATGTTTAGTTTTCTTGGTACATGTTAAGTTTATGTGACAGTTGTAATAAAGCTTTATTTTTAGGACTATCAACATAATATCAATGATTAGTAAAGAAGGAGAGACATTTCAGCGTGTGCACTCTTGTTTATATTTTTGTAATATATTTAAAAGAATCTACTATAAGGTGAAAAATGTCAGTCAACATGAGAGATAATTAAAACCCTGGTGACTAGCTTAAGTATAGATATCAATGAATACCAGCAATTGACAAGTTCAAATTCCATGGACAATGCAGAAAAATAAAATAAATATATCAATAGCTCAATCAAAATTGATGTCAAACACACAAAATGTGCAAAAGGACATCAGTTATGGGAAAAGAAATTTTTAAAGAAGTTAAACATAACAGCAACGATTTGGTATTAAACGTGAATCCCAGGAAAAGTTGAACTTGTGCACGTATGTTCCATTAGATTGTATTTGGACAGAAAACATACTTTCAGTCGTGTTAAATTTACAGATACATGTAATAATACAGTATTGCCAATTCAAAAATCAAAATTAGATATAGGAAGATGTGGTATGAGTGCCAATGAGACAACTCTCCATCCAAGTTACAATTTATAAAAGTAAACCATTATAGGTCAAGGTACGGCCTTCAACACGGAGCATTGGCTCAACAGATGAGACTTCTATGCTTATATATTTTTCTTCCGTAAAGTTCCATTACACAGATTGCCCTTTTGCATACATTATATATATATGTACCACTCAAACTTTATATACTGTAAATTCAGAAATTATTGAATGCGAATAATGTGACTAGGTTAGTATCGCAATAATAAGAACTTGAATTCTTATAACTGAAACATACACATTTATTCTTATAACTGAAACATACACATTTATGCAGAATTATTTGAAATCTCAATCAATAAACATTTTTTGGTAAAATTGAGAATGGAAATTGGGGATTATGCACGTCAAAGAGACAACCAAACCAAAGAGCAGATAACAGCCAAGGCAACCATTCTTGAATAATTGCAATAATAAATGCATGCAAAAATTTCAGTTTTGAAAAATTGCTGGGTATCCTGATTTTACATGTTTTATAAACTGTTTTTATTTTAAATGATAAATCATTTTTTTGATAATAAAAAGTTGAAAATTGACATATATATATATATATGTGAAATCCCATTTTAAATAATTCTAGTGTTGGTTATTATTATATATAAGTTTATCCAGATTTTTTTTAAAGAGGGGTCAACAAGAAATCTGTAAGAAATACATGGTCACACAAAGACTTTAATGCCATTTGTCTGTTTTTATATCAAAATTAGGAGATGTAGTATGATCGCCATTTAGACAACTATCCACCAAAGTTCAAAGGAAGTAGAATTTAGCAATTATACTTTATAGGCAACTACCGCCTTTGACAATGAGAAAATCCATAACGTACAGTGGGCTAAAAATGACTTGAATATAAAAAAAAATTGAGAAACTTAACAGCCTAATTTATAACAAAACAAATATGACAGACATGAACCTATTTAAAGGAAGCCACTGAACAAATGGTACCTTTAATACTGTAACACAACAACACAAACTCATTATTTTTGTCACAAAATGAAATGTGATGCTTGATAACACAATATACATGATATAGATAAAATGTATGCGAGTACTGACTGGGACATCAATTTTGAAAATGAATATCCTGGCCTGGTAAGAACTGGAAAAACACAAAATTAAAGAAAAAAAGTGAGAATAATTTTTCACACAGCAACCCCCAGAAAAAAATATGTCTGTGTAGCAACAGATGAAAGGAAACATTCCATTTTTCCCACCCTAAATACCAAATTCTCTTCCATTTAAAATAAAGTGGTTCTCTATACTTTTCAAGACTTCTGATTGAACTTGTCATACTCATTTCCAAACATATTCTGCAACTGAATATGTCAGAACTGCTTCTTTTCTTTTATTCTTCTGTTATATAATTTTTAATGCATACCATTAGCATAAATTTGAAAACCCATATTTAATAAAGGATTTATATAGTTAGAGATCAAGGATTTCATTTATATAGTAAGAGATCAGTGATTTATAAAGCAAGATCTTGCTATACACAAAATAAATAGTCTTATATGAATATAAACCACCTGGGGCTGGAGGAATGTAAATGGTTGATAAAAAGAACCAAGGACAACACATAACAGAACTCATATTACCAAACTATACATCACAAGACTACTCTTCAAATTTGAAGCGACCAAATTTGCATAGAGATTGGTAAAACAATTTATATTTATGTTGAAGGTGGAACTGCACATATTTTGTCAGTCCTTTTTTGAAGAACATTCAACATTCTACATACAATTGAAGCCTAAAGAGGGGCATCAAACACAGACAACTTGTTTTACTATCGTCGGTTACTGCAAAGGTCAAACGATTTCAACATATATTGTCAATAAGACCAATTTATGTTGAGGTTTAATAATGTCAATATTCCCGCATCGTCAACTGTGACAACAGAGTTGCGGTTCTTTGATGATTGTACGAGTCTTCAGTGCGCTTGAATAACATAGACAATTTATCGAAACCATAGTTACCAATTCTAAATTCACAAAAAGCGGGTTACCAGAGACGATATTTCTCAAAAATATAAACTGAAATAGAAAGCTATTGATATAACCTAATAGAAAAGTGCTGCGCGCTTATTGAATATGAAACTGTAATCAAAATAGGAACGAAACTATGTACAAATTTAACGTTATATGCTGCCGGGTAAACTAATAATATTATTTTTATTTAATATGTTCACTTCTGGAAAATAGCGCAGCACTTTTAATTAACGGGAAAGCACAAGGATTCGTTTAAAAAAAAGTTTGTTGATTTTTATTCAGTGTAGTAACCCGTTTTTTGCCAATTTGGTTAAGGCATTTTACCCCTGTAGAAGTCACGTGACCTAGGCGATCATGACCAAAATTTCGGTTTACTGAATCCTTACTACACGAATATATAAATTCAACAACTTAGATTCCTGAATTTTGGTTTAAGGATGTTTGCTCCTCAAATTCAAAATAACAAGAAAGTTTTCCTATGTGGTTTTTTTTAGAGTTCATTCATAGGCAAGTCAAAAAATAAAAAAAAATATATAGGTCCGTGTGCTTATTTTTCCGTACCGCAGCCCTATATTGTTCATGATTATGGCTTATTGATAAAAATCTGCCTTTTCCAGAAATCTGTATATGTACATTTGAAGAAACAAAAAACAATCATTTCAATAAGTATGAACACTTTTTATTTGAATAATGCTGAAAAACATGTCATTGTTTCATTTTACACAAAGTTTTTTGTAAACAAGTCATTTGTCACAGTTATTTACCTGCTTGATTTCATAAAAAACAAGAAAGTACGGGAAAACATATGACATCCAACAAAACTCTTTGAAACATCGTTTTAAAATAACAAGAAATTTACAATAATTTCTGAAATTTTTCATTAGGTCTTAATCTTGAAATTTATAAAGAAAAAAGTATAGGTCCGTGTGCAAAATTTTGAATTAGAACCAAAAAATAACACAAAGTACGGGAAAATGTATAATATTCAACTAAATTCTTTTTAAAGCACCTTTTAAACCAACAATTAATTAATAATTATTTCAGAAATTGTGTATTACATCATATTCTTCAAATTTATAAAGAAAAAAGTATATATCTGTGTGCATAATTTTGAATTCGAGCCAAAAATTTACAAAAAGTACGGGAAATTGTATATCATTCAACTAAATTCTTTGAAAGGCACCTTTTATACTAACAAGAAATTGACAGTTATTACAGAAATTGTGTATTAAGTCTTATTCTTAAAATCTATGGAGAAAAAAAAAGATTGGTATGAAAAATTTTGAATGATGCCTATAAACAGTGATAAAAACCTAAAATATTTGATAAAAAAGTACGGGAAAATCTTAAAATTTTGACTTTTTTCCTCTATACTGTTTATAAAAAAAAATCAAAGATCACTTTTGTGAGTAGTAATTTAAAACTTATCTTAAATAATATATAATTAACATGAACAAAACTTCTTTTGAGTATATTGCCTCATTTCAATATAATAATTTTACTATGATGGTGGTCATAGAGAATTTTTAATTTGATGCCAAATTTACAAGTACATACGTTATTAGTAGTTTACAGTATGAGTGATAAATCTAGTAATTAAATACACTATTCATGTTAAAGCAAGAGTATAATATTGTTCTTCAATGACCATTGTCAGAAATGCAAATCATCAGGGTTTGTTCAAAAATAATGATTTAACATATATCAAGTAAGATAACTCTTTGTCAAGTTTTATGTAATTATGAACAAGCAATATCAATTATTTATAACTTATACCCATAATTAAGTCCCAGCATAGGTAACAGTATAAATAAAATCTGGACCCTGATTTAATAATACATGTATGCACACATCATTTATTTGACATTGGTACAAACACCCTAGCTATAGGTTGCATAAAGTTTCGAACTTGAAACAGACTAACCTAACTGTATAAGGAGTTGGACAAAACCATGAAAGTTCATAAAAGCAGAGTTCAACAATCAGTTTTTCTGTAAGGCTATTCATCAGTACTTGAAAAAGTATAGAACGTAAGGTTTCACGTTCATTCAAAATATTTTGAAATTCAGAAGGTATATAATCAACAAATTTGAAAAATGCATTAGAACTCATCATTGTAAGCTGCTGAACTAATATAGTCCTTTCATTAAACGGTTTCTCAGAAAAGCTTGACAGAAATTTTTGTTGGACAATCAGACGGACAGGGTGAATGCAATAAAGCCCATCACTGTTAGGGTTGGCGTATACATAAAACAAATTTATACATTGAAAAATTGAATCATAATTTCCTGTCAATATGCACGTTTACATAGTATATCCTTATTATCTACAAAATTTCATGAAGTTCTGTTGTGTGGTTTCAGAGGAGGTGGGATGACAAACTGTTGCAGTAGTATAACTAGGCCAATAGGTGCAAAGGGGCATAACTCCTAGAACAAAAATTAAATCATAATTTCCTGTCGATATGCACATCTACATAGTATGTCCTTATTATCTATAAAGATTCATGAAATTCTGTTGTGTGGTTTGAGAGGAGTTTTGATGACAAGACTGACGGACTGACAGACAAACAGACTGATGGGTCAAAAAACATTAAAAACTGCACAGGGTATAATAAGAGCAGTTAGCCAGGCACCATATGTTACCCATTTTTTATGTTGATCATTCCTATTTATATCAGGAACTTGTAATTTTGTAAAGAATTCATTACATTCTGAAAATAGATAATGTGCATACTTTTATATTACATACATAAATATTAAACAATTTGCAAAATTTTGAGATTTCAGAGTGTTTGTAAAAACTCTGAAACTTTGTTTATTATCTTCTGAGATTTTGTAACACGTACACCTGACCCACAGCTCTCTGTAAAAATATCTCTTATCCCTTTTGCACCATTCCTTGAAAAGGCTAGCTTCAAATGCTGCAAGGAAAGACCACTCTTGGCAATAATTCGTGCCATACTTATAGACAGTATTTTATTGTCAACTAACAATTTCAATGAAGGCAGATTTTTTCTGAAGCTCTTTCATAGATAAGTATTTTTCTAATATAAAATTATTTGACAAGTATACTTTTTCAAAATGACAATTATTTACAACAGTTTTATGTACAAGTGTATACAGTGCATCTACATCTTCATCAGCTCTGTGAGCATCATAAGTTTGACCCAATAATGTTTGAAATAAATTAGGTTGAGAATAGGAACTAAGGCCTGGATGAGAAGATTTAAATAATAATAATGTATCTACAAAACCTGAAATACTGGTCATAAATTTATCAAGTAAGCTACATTTTTCTAAAGCTGTATATAATACCATGCAATCATAATTACATATATTGTGGCCTATAATAACATTATTTTGTGATTTATCAAGAAAAGAAATAAAATCGTTCAAACACTTTTTGATACCAACAGCTGGCATAACATTTCCTTTAAACAAGAGCTGACCATTCTCAAACGTAATTCCTGTGATTTCAGCAGCCTTCTGTGTTACTTGGCATGATGGTAATACAAATGAAGTATACATCTCCTCATCCCTTTTGGCAGATAATTGTAATATGTGTGATGTTCTACCTGCAAAGATTTTTTTTTATCATAAACATAGAAAAATATGTGTTGCATAATAATAATAATTGTTTTAAAGCCATAAATGAATGGCATGTGATTATATATCAAAACTCGTATAAATTACTTAGAACAATTGTGAGACATTGTTGACTGTTATAGCATACCTAATTATTTTTTAACCGGTTTTTTGAAGTAAAAATCGATTATTGATTTGGCGATGTTTGGCGGGCGGCTGCCAAACAGTGTCTGTTCAATTACATGAAAACGCTTTAAAGAAATTTTTTCAAATTTAAATATGTTGTTTCCTGTGACTAAATGAAGGTCAAGTTCAATTTTCACGATTTTAGCTTTTCTCGTTAGTCAGTTATAGCCTTTTTCCAAGAATTCTATTTTTGATGAATTAAGCCATTTCTGTACGAAGGGAAATAACTCATTTTTTAAAAGACATTGTATTAATGATAAAAAACATTTTGGATTTTTTTTTCTTTTCTTTGGTAAATTGTTTGAAGAATTTTGTGGTAGGTTTGTTTGTTATTCTGTATAAAGTAATTTTCTGAATGCTATATTTGTTGTGTGTGTTAATTTTAATTTTTACTTGATCCTGTTTGGGGTTCCAGATTTGCAAATTCATTAGATAATAATCTATTTTTATTGAAGGATATATTTCATTACATTACATTGTGTAGATAAAGTTGTAGAATTTCATAGATAAGTTGCAGATCTATATCAGTTTGATACAAATGAAAGAAAAATTATTGGGAACTATTAACTATATACATGATATATATAAAGTTTAATTGATTACATTAAGTGTTTTTAAATGATTTTCACCTTTTATCAAGATAACACACCATCTGTTAATTGTTAATCACCCAATTATAATTGTAGTGACAGATTTATTTGAAAACTATTAATTATATTAGATTATAATTTGAAAATAAATATAACATCATATCTAATTTTAGAGAATTATGATTAAATCATATCTAATTTTAGTGAATTATAGTTAAATCATATCTAATTTTAGAGAATTATAGTTAAATCATAACTAATTTTAGATTTACATTATTGGTTCATGGAAATAAAGTTATTTCCCTTTGAACAGAAATGGTTTAACTAAGAAGTATTTCATCAAAAATTGAATTCTTGGGGTTCCTTGATATGCTGTTTCTAGCAATTTACATATATTTTGGATATTGGACCATAATAGGTAAATGTCCAATTTCAAATTTTTCAGTTCTTTGACCACATTTATTTTGTGTCACAAACCTATGCTGTATCAAATATTCAATCACAATCCAAATTCAGAGCTGTTTTAAGCTTAAATGTTGTGTCCGTACTTGCTCAACTGTTCAGGGTTCGACCTCTGTAGGAAAATCCGGTTTGCTGTCTCTCTGACAGCCTCTAGTTTTATCTTTCACAAGTTGTTGAAATGCGGCAAGTGACTATTGTTATTGAGTGCCATCAACAAACAGACTTTCGAATATAGTCAACTCTACAGAAAACTTGATCTTTGAAGTTGACTCACTAGCTGACCTTGATAAAAAAAACCTAGGGCATTCTATAATAAGCTGTCTTCATAATGATTAGGGATGTATTCTTAATTTCAATACATATAGAATAATATATGGCAAAATCCTTATCACATGCTGTATCACCACGAGAAACCAATATCAATACCGAGGGCCAATGGTGATACAGCATGCGATACGGATTTTGACATGTATTGATCTGTTTATTATACATTTTGATAGAATTAGATTCATGATTTATAACAGATCCCTTTCAATTCGGATCAGGGAATATAGCCCTTTGCTGGAAATGCAACATTATATTCCCTGTCTTAGACCTAAATCACATTTAATGTTTTACTGCAAGATAAACATATAATACTTACTAAGCCCAGTAGCTTCTATGTCAAAATATATTCTAGACAAATTTAGAGGCATGGACTGATTGGTCACTGTTTGAACTGGTGCAGGTATTTCTGTTATATCCGGTTCAACTCCTAGTGCTGTGCCCTCTTCATAACACACCCCTTCTCTTACTTCACAACTTGAAGTATTTTGGTGACTGTGAAAGAGATAAATAGATTTATAAAAGTATATAATCTTAAGTCATGGTAGTAGGATTATAATAGATTGATCATTCAAATATTAAATCTACAGCAAACAGAAATTGGGTGTTAATTTTTATTTGCAGAACCCTTAATTATTATTAAAACTATATTTCTAAATAAATGAAGAATGTGTCTTATGGGCAACAGATGCCACCGCTTGTAAATATGCATGAGTTAATGTACTAATTATTGACATTTTACTTCTTTTAAAAGTTAATGAAATATTTTTCTACATTTGGTTGAGGAAAACTAAAGTTAGAGAACGGGAACGACATATTTATCAAAGTTTCTATTTATAACTAAGCATAGCTCAAGAAAGGTAAACGAGACACCACCCAATTTCTAACTTGATCTGTGTTTTGTGGTAATAAGCATTGTGTATAAGTCTTTAACATTTGGATGAGGAAAACTAAAGTTGGAAAACAGTTGAAAAATTCAGCAATTTTTATGTTTATAAAGGGGCATAACTCATGAACGGTAAAAGTGATGCCACCCAATTTCGAACTTTAAGGTAATAAGCATTGTGTATAAGTTTCATTACACATTTGGTTGAGGCAAACTAAAGTTGGAGAAAGGAAACCAATTTTTGGGACAGGGACAATTAGTTTTTCTAAAAATTAAATCACTCAGAGCACTTAGTGACTGGTTAATTAGCGGTTTGGTTGATTCAGCATCATGTCTGTCAAGTTTAATGTGAAATTCTGACTCCTGCATTTTTAATGAATTATAAAATAAATATTATACCGCTTTGACTTCAACTGGATTCTATGCAGTTTTGCTTTCTTTGTCACTGCTATTGCCTTTCTTTTCTTTGCCTGCAAGTCCCGTAATGTGGACAGTTTTTTTGTGTGGACCCCAGGTGATAGGCCTGCAGATACATTAGCCTGAAAAATAAAATATTATATAAAAGATTATATGTTTTATTATAATTTTGTGTCATATAATTTCGTCAGTATTGCAATGCATATATGTATTTGTGTAAATTAATTAACTTTCATTAATTTCAAACATAAGTTAGAGTAATAAAATTTCATACATGAATGAACAGTTATTAAGAGACTATGAGGAACTTTGATAATGAAAAAAATATTACATATCTTTCAACAAGTCATGCATGATTTTCAACACATTACAGTTGTCACAGCAGTTTCATGTATTTTCAGAAAGAAAACAAACATATTCTAAAATTTATTGCTGTATTTAATCAATAGAAAAGAAAAAATATAAAAAAAGTAAACTATTTTCAAGAGCCACTCTTTCCAAGAATCATGCAATTTTCTGTTTTGAATTCAATTAGATATAATGCCAGGTCTTGGGAGAGAAAAAAATATACAAAGAATGCATTTCAGTATATTCTGAAGAAGGAAAGAGAACTTGAACAAATATTTTACAATGAAATGCAATTTAACTTTAAAACCCTGACCCACAACTGACCATTCTGGGGTACATCTTATAAACTTTTTTTTTAATTGTAAATAATTCTAACATCATGAACATTATAGGGACTGCATGAAACTTAGAGTGACATTTAAATAACAATGCCCTTTCTTTCTTTTCTGGATAGTACTAGACTTTTAATAGATGCTAAGTAATGACAAGATGGCCTTATAATTTGTGTCAGTGAACAGAAGCCAGAAAGAAATTGTATTTCAAAATGTTCAATTTAATTTTGTAACCAACAGCATGCATTAAAAAAAATCAAAACTGAATTTTCTTACATCAACTGTGTATATGTGACCTCTATTTTTTTGGACAACACTTGCAGCTATTCTGTAACCTAGGCTTCCTGAGCCACCATAATGTTTTGACTTTGGTGCCTTCGAAGCAACAATTTTATTGAAACTCTCATTTCCTTGAGTACTTTCTAAGTTGGCAAGTTTATTTGAATGTTCAGCATAATTTGAAAAAATTTGTTTCAATGATGCCTGTAGTGCCTTATCAGACAACGGTTTACCATAAGGCAATGATCTGTACTTAAGTCCACTCTCTTCAATAAACCTACACCAATCAGTATGACAGTCACTGTGGTCTCCAAATGGATGCTTAGCCAATGCTGGCAGACTCTGACAAATTTTTTCTGGTTGACCTTTTCCTTGTGCCACCAAGAAATTAAAGCATTTTACGACATAATTTATCACTTTAGTTGATAATGATTGATGTTTATTTTTTAAGTCGTAAAGTTTTTTACCTAATGTTTTTTTGATGTGATTACTGTCTGACAGCTTTTTTATGTTTTTATCTACGTTAGATCTTATTCTGGCAATTGTAGTAGAGTCCTCATCCCCAACAATAGTACAGATGTTCGTACCTTTTAATCTAGCTTCTCTGACTAGGTCAATTACCATATCTGGCTCCATGGCTTTTGCACTCCCACCAAAATTTTTCCTGCACTGATGAACCTTTGGTATTTTTCCTTTTCTACTGGCTACCTCACATATCCTGCAAGTTTTTGACCTCCATTTATAACCAAGTATTTTGCGGGACTTTGCTCCAATCATTGAACAATGTCCTATTAAAAAAAGATATCCAAGCTTGATATATTCATAATAAAGACTCAAAAGCTTTATATATTGAGGAAATCTTTCATTCCTTTTAAACCTTAAATCTCTTCTATAATAGACATATGGCCAGGGAACACAGTTTTTTTCGTAGTGCATTTCTTTTATACAATAAATTCAAATTAAAAAAATCGCACCTGCTCTATCTCAAAAAGATTTTTACAGTGTAATGTACTACTATTGGGACAAATAATATCAAAATTATAGAAACTTCTACCAGCTCTTACTCAAAATATTGACAATTCTTTGTTAAGGGGGTCTAAAATTCAGTTTGACAGTTTCAGACATACTAATTTTGACCTTTTTTCACTAGACCAAATCACTACTTAACATAAAGATTCAGCAGACAATTTTTTTTAACATGTAATTTCACACCCTTACTTAATATATCATGCATCAAATATCAAGAAATAAATTGGGAAAGTGTATGAAAAAAATTGCAAGTTATACACTGTTTACACTAGGGACTATATTCGTAGACAACGAAAACCAAAGGACGATAACTGTGTCCTTGGACCTAATATTCAATCTCAAATATTTCTATCGGACCTTGAAAATTTTTAAATAATTTTAAACAAGAAAATTTCACCTAAAATTCTGTCAATATGCATTTATAGAGTTGGACTAAAAATTCAAGAATTGGTATGAGGGGGAAACTTGGAAGTAATATCAATTAGCTTTCCTCAGAGAATAAATGTTTATGGTTAATGACTAATGAAGATAGCTTATGTTAGAAAACTTATATTAAATATTATTATATTAGAACTAACAAACAATCAAGATTCATTACTAAATCAAACCCACATCTGAAATATGAAAATGAGGGAGTTGTCTCTCTTTGTCAAAATCTAGCTTGATATCATTAGAATGTTGGCATTTCTATTTTTATGATTAAGTTCAAAGTTTTTATACAATAAATACAATTATAACTCTAATGAACCATTAAATGTCTTATTTTTTTTTTATTTAGTTTGTTTATTATGTTATGAATAGTACCATTGTATTTTTTCTGTCCCTTAAAGGGCACCTCGATCATGTTGATAGGTTTATAAAATTAAATCAGTATACTGCTACTTATTCATAGAATTTTGTCAGTATATCCAATTGTGTATGTTACTTTTTACCTTCAGTTGTTAATTAAAAAATGTATACAATTAGATTGTGACATTCTTTGTTTATTGAGCAGGATAATATCATAGCAGATATGTACAATTAATGTCTTGTCCATGGTAAAACAAGCACACATGGCTACAATAAAAGATTTCTTATGAGATTTGTGACTACATGTTGTTGTCATATCTATGTTTGTTTAAAGCCTACTTTATAGTTATATGGTTTTTGATTGTAATGTAAACTTTTCTTGTATGTCTGGTCTATAACTATATATTATATTTCAGGGATTATTTTCTTAAATATAATGTACCTGTGAGGCTATCATATGCCCTGCCACTTCCTCTTTTCTGCCAACCTGCATCTACACACACTGTTATGTTTTCATTTCCTCCAAATCTAAAATTAAATTAAATTTGTAAATAAAACACTAAACATAATTTGTATCAATGACTAAGTTGATAAGTCCAATTGTTTAATCCAACATGAAAGTTGTCTATTTGTGATTGTATGTGTCTTTCTGGAAATAAAATGATTTTTGCACCTAAAAGACTAGTTGTAGATCAGGGTTTTACCTTAAATGAGCCACCACATTGAATCATTAAAATTCATTTTAGTAGATGTGTCCTTTTTACAGAGAAAATTATTATATAACGTCATGATAAGCCCAAATGAACTTTTTCTGGTATTTCATTAGAATGGTTATAGCTGTATTGCTTTTAAGAGATATTCTCATAGTAATTCTATAGTTTTTCTGTCTCAAATATTATTTTTATCTAGCTTCTATGTTTATCTAGCTTCTATGGATTGTTAGGAAGCTACCATTTGATTTTTTTGGGGGTGGGGTGATAAATTGTGTCCTGCATTTTTTTTTAGATGTAATCTCTGTTCTGCCTTCAAAGTTTTCACTGGATTTGGTCCTGCCTTTTTTTATTATTTTATCTTGACCATTTTTAAACTAATTGTCATCCTGCCATTTTTTGTTACCAAGTTGCTCATCATGCCTTTTTTTTCAAAACTTCATCCTAGCCCCCCCCCCCCCCCCCCCCTCTCTTATAAATCAATGGTAGCTCCCTTAGATAAACTCAATTTCTAAACAATCAAACCCACAATTTAAGTCAGCAACCCTTCAAATATATACAATACAATTATCCCCAAAAATGTAATTCTTTAGTAAGACATAAGCCTATTTTTTAATAAAGTGAATAAAATTTTAATTTCCAATTTTCATAATTCATAATTCATCAATTCATTAGTTATACCTTCATAGACTTTACTTTTGAAGCCATATTATCCCTTTAAATGTCAATAACTATTGAATGAATTCATTTTGTTTTTGGTTTTTTTTGTTCAGTATTTTTAAAAAAAAATCATAAATTAATAAATATCATCTACACACTCTTTAGTCAAAGTCTTTTCCTTTTCCATCCATTCTGCCATTGATTCTTCTGCAAGTGATTCCAACACTTTTCCAACCTCTTTTGATCTTTCATCAAACATTTTGTGGCTCACTGTTGGCATGTTTAAAATTGATAAGAATGCATTAAGTTGATGTTCTCCAAGTCCAATATGTATGGCAGCTATAAGATACAAGAAATGTTTATTATGATTTAATGATTGCTTATACATCAGTTATATATGTAAGTACTAATAGTATTCAACTGATTTAAAATTTTATGCACCAATGTGAAATAAGATTTTGTTGTAAAACAATAATTTTTAGTATTGTACGTACCCCTTTGTCAATAACTGGTCTGTGAAACTCAAGTTAAAAATATGCATGGCCTTTAGAAGAGCTGTCAGTGTCTTAATTGATACTTTATTGCACACAAAAATAAATGGTCTAAAATAGACAATTATTTTCAAATATCTTCATCGAAATTTTTCATTGCCTTTCTGAATAGTTTCAGATGTTAAGAATTCATGCAATTAATTTTATATATGTTGTACAAAAGTAAACAAACAAATGGTATTAGGCAGTGTGGTCATATACATTCTTTGTTCTTATTATGCTGATCAATTATAAAGTTGCTGTCCTCTCATTTAAAATAGTTAGAAACTTGATGTCCTATAACTTATCATACTACAAAAAATAGTACATTTAGGTTTGATGTACATACCCTGCTAAACTGGACCCCTGTTGTGTTCACTTATAGCTACACTTCGGTGCAGAGATTTAGATGGAATGGCGGGCCAGTTTACATACCCTGCATGGCCATTATTTAAAGCCAAATCAAACAATCTTTTAACAGTTTAAGATGTATAAGTGCAAAGTGCAGATTTATAAGTCCCAGAAAATGCACTATATAAACCAGGTGGTTGATCAGAAATCGGTCATGTTCATGTATGCACCAGTTTATCAAGATTTAAGGTGGCTCACCCCAATAAGGACCCCGGTAGAATTTTTTTATTTTCACATATTTTGTAGATTTTTTTATGCTGAATCCAAAAATGCAAAGAAAAAAAGGGGTCACCAGGCTCGTTTTCCCCTCAAATGGAAGCGAATTGTGCGATTTTGACCCTATTTCCAAACTTTTACACCCTTTCAACAATAACGACTACATCAAATTCAAAGACTTTTAGAACCATGTCAGTATGATTATTATGTGAAAAAACAATTAAATTTGAAATGTAAACGTTCCCCTTGGTTGTTTTAGACTTAAAAATCCTTTTATTTTCAGATTTATGTCTAAATTTGGCATTTTTTAATTTCAGTTTAAGGCTAAAAATATTGGTTAAATCGATTTTTCGTAAAATTTCCCCGGTAGATTTTTAAAAAAAACGGATATGTCAAAGCTATGAACTTTTCGAGCATTTTAAGGTAAAATAAAATGGGGGTCACCAGGCTTTTAAAAAAGTTACGAGCTTTTGTTTAACCCCTCTACCCCATGAGGTCTGATTTCAATGCACTCCATTAATTACTTGATTGTGATTTTTTTATCAATGTCTTTAAATAAATAATGTTTGTAATTATATCAATGGACGAACGCTGAATATAAATGTGATGAACATTTTACTGTTTGTTATAAAAAAGCGAAATTTTGATTATTTTGGTGAAATACGGTAATTTTGTCTGGCGCGAGTTGCTTCCCTCTAATCTGGCGCCATAATCGGACAACAGAAATTTCAGGGTCGCCATTGCTGAGCAGCATACTGCATTGATGAATACGACCATGTGCATGAATAACAGACATAGCGGCGAATAGACAACGATGAAGGTAGAGTCATTACATAAGAAAACATAGATTTTAATATATTAGACAGCCAAATGTTATCAGTATCACGAAAAATACAAAGTGGGGGGTTATCTCAAAATACTCGATACTGTAGAAAATCACTGCGGCTGAAACCTGGCATGGGCTAAATTTCTGTTCTATGTATAATCGTTATGGCTGGTATCTTATTTACGTGTTTACTTGACCCTTAACCTGTTAACTGGCAAGTTGTGAACATGTATAGCCTGTTTTGAAAAAATATCCGTGTCGAACAGTCAAAGAGGAGGGGATGGTCATTTTCAGCATCTCATGATCAGCGCTATCGTTAGCGTCAAATAAGTCTTGATTTTATATCGTCATTCGTAAAATCTAATTTCGTAGCCACGTTAGGGAGCTACCATTTGATTTTTATGGGGGGGGGGGGGGGGGGGGGGTGGGGGGCTAGGATGAAAAATGTTGTCCTGCTTTTTTTTTTAGTTGTAATCTCTGTCCTGCCTTTTTATTTTTTTAACTCTTTTTGGACCTTTACCCGTGTTGCTCATCCTGAATTTTTTTTTTACTCCAAACTCCTGTCCTGCCTATTTTTTCAAATTTCATCCTATCCCCGCCCCCATAAAAATCAAATGGTAGCTCCCTTAGGGTCAAATGAAGTTAAATATTTATCGTTAGCGTCTATAATGACTAGTAAAACAGGTTGGGAACAAACCCTCTACATGGTGTTTATACCTGTAAAGAGGAATAATCCTTCTATAGAGGGATAAAAGAGGGGTATTTTTGTTTAGACTGGATTTAAAGCAAAATAGGGCAGAATGGCATTTTCTAGTTATATTTGCTATAATCTATAGCACTATATATGCATCAATTATTGCACTTTACTGTATTCTGTATTTCTTTACCAAAAAATGGCCTGGGATGCCCAGTTTTCTGCTAAAGTGACAGAACTTGCAATCTATTGTATACCTACATGTATCTGAACACCTGATCAACAACAAAAGGGACATGCAGTTGACCTTTAAATTTTATGTTAAATCTAACAATAGAAATTCTGTTCAGTGAGGCATAACTGAGTGGAATTTACCTGATCATCACAGCTTTCAATTATGGTGTACAATAGATTGTATATTCAGTCAGTTTAGCAGTAAACTGGGCATGTGAAATGAAATTAAGTACATCAATTGGTGCATCAAATGTAGCAGGTTACTGCCATAATAAGTAGAAAATGCCATTCTGCCCTACTTTGCTTTAAATCCAGTCTAAACAAAAATTCCCCTCTATAGAAGGATTATTCCTCTATACAGATTTAAACACCAGTGGCGGATCCAGGGGGGGGGGGGGGGGTTCAGGGGGTTGGAACCCCCCCCTTTTTTTTTGACGTTCAATGCATTTGAATGGGGACATATAGTTGGAACTCCCCCTTTATCCTGGGTTAGGAACCCCCCCCCCCCCCTTTTTATAAATGGCTGGATCCACCCCTGAAAACCACATAGAGGGTTTGGTCCCAACCTGTAAAATGGGTACCCCATAACTTCCCTCGGACAGGGGTTCATGATTACCACTCCCTATCCATATATTTTCAACTAGAATAAATTGATATCTTTCTTAACTTATTAATACTGTTCCTAAAAGGTAGATTTTTACATCTTTATACAATATTTTCACTTTTTAATAAATTATGAACTTCACTTAAATGATTTTAAATTCATTTAATACCTCTAACAAATCATTTTAGAATACTTTTTGGTTTTGATTTGTAGAAATATGTCCAAATTTAAAGACTTGTATACCTTTAAAGAAGAAGGAATTGCAGATAATCTACTATACATTGACCAGTTGTACAGCTTCATAAAAGAAAGAGTAACTTTAGATGATAAATATAAAATAAATCGACCAAATTTTGTAAGGGAGTTTAAAGGACACAAAAAAGGCATTAAATCCCTGAGTCATGGTAATGCTATTACTATTTCTTCAGCAGTCAGATACATTTTCAACCACTTTGATGACTACCGAATTTGTCACGAAATTGGACTGCAAATATCAAATACAGCATTTAACAGCCAGTCAACAGAGCAAACTAAAACACTGTTTTCTTTGTATAAAGCCATATCTGAATTTGACACGAAGCAAATAACTTTGAAACTTAACGACAGGTTGGAAATAGATGATACAAATTCCTGTATACCATCTATTGAAAATACTTACAGAACGGATTTTTCAGATTTTCAATGGAAAAAAATATGTATTTTCGAAAACTACTACAGTAAATATGTTGCATCTACTGACGACCATTATGAAACTGCATTAAAACAGAAATGGGAGACATTTGAATATTTAAAGAAAATTACTTCAATGTCAAGGAACTTTGAAAAACTGAATAAAAGTACTATTAAAGCAAGAACAATAAGACAAAAGGTATACGAACATTCCCAAAATATCTTGGTATGGACAAGAGAGAAACACTTTCCTGCTGTCATTGAATCACAACTGATGAAAAAGTTTGATACCATTAATCCAGACATAATATTTCCACCTGTATGTGTTGACACACCTCAATCTATTGAGACAAACTCAGTTATGCTAATTTTTTCGTGTATAGAATTTGAAAAATATGAAGAATACACTAAGATTGCCACACATTTTCTACAGAATAAGCATCACCTAAATGCTAGTCAAATCACCTTTGTATCACCAGAGACACTAGAAAATTACAGACGTCCAAACAACGGAATCGCACGATTTCATTTAAGGGACGATTTGCTACAGAAGAAACTTGAAAATGACACCATTCAAGTATTTCAGCCGGCAAGTCAATCCTTTGATAGAAATGAGTCCAATGAATGTGATGCCTGCTTTAATCATTGTGATTTGGTAAAACCACTATCTTTACATCACTTTGAATTGTTGCAAGAATGGTTTCTAGATATACCACTTGATATACAGATTATCCTGGACTAGTTTATAAATAGAGACACCTTTTACAGCAGTGGGGACAAAATAGCCTTCTTGCTTTCTAAAATGGAAAGATTGTATGGAGCCTTTGACATACTTCTCAACACTTTCAACAAGAACTATATTGGTATACTCCAACAGGCCAACACTGATGAATTAGCAATGCATTTTCAAAGCATAACAACAGTATTTTCAATCGCTAGTAATACAGGTATCTCTACGAGTTTGGTGACGGCAGAAAAGAAGATAAAGGAAAAAGCTACAGACGACCTGTGTTACTACAATACTTACTTAAAGAAATTTCCCTTACATTATCAAACAGCTACAGGTATAGCAGATCAATTAGTAAACCTTAGAGACTGCCACCTAATACTGATGATGGATAACCTAGTTCGGATGACTTTCCGTTCTGATCCTAATCCTGGAGAAAACAGATCAGGACAACTATGCACACTGCCTTTAACATTGCAAGGTTTACCAAACGACAGTTCAGTAACAGATTCATGGCATACTACAGACTGTTTAAAAGATCAGAACTGATTGATTGATTGATTGTTGGTTGCTTCACGTCCAGTGGCAAATATTTCATGCATATTCAGGACGAGAACAAGTTCAAAATAAATACAATAGGTAGGTTCTGTAATAGATTAAGGGATTAAGGTCGGAGAAATTTAGACTGCCACGGGAAATGAGGGTATATTGGATAGGGACAGAAATTTAGCCTTGCAACAGGTCACCTACGGACCCCTCAAAGAGTTTTTGCAAGGGTTCTTAACGTGCAAAGAGCATGGCACTCTCTTTGCACGAGGCATCGGATTTAACGTCCCCATTCTGACCGGACGTGGCTGCAAATTTGTACATCCCGCACAGCCAAACGCACGCCCCACTTTAGCACGGGTTTTACTGCCGGTCGGAGGAAGACCAATGGTGACCATACTTCTATTCCCCAGTCACCCTTGGGGGGAAGATCAGAACTGTCAGTGCAAGAAAGACATCAAACTGAAAAAGGAAGATTTTGATAATGCATTGGTATCCTTAACCAACGAGGAGACAGCTTGTTGGGAAAGATTTCAGAAGCTATTGACATGGGGAAGTGTACCCTTATGGAAAAAACTAAGAACAAGTAAGTTTTTTTATATAAAAGTACACATATTTTGTAGTTATCAATTGATTGAT